CTTGGCCCCTCACTCCACCAAGAAAGAAACACAATGCTTGGTGGGCCTGTTTGGATTCTGGAGGCAGCACATTCTTCATCTGGGTGTGTTACTATGACTCATATATTAAGTTACTTGGAAGGAAGCTACCTTTGAGTGGGGCCTGGAAGAGGAATGGACCCTTTAGCAGGTCCGGGTTGCTGTACAAGCTGCTTGGCCCCATGGGCCATATGATTCAGTAGACCCGATGGTGCTTGAGGTAATAAAGATGCTGTTTGGAGTCTCTGGCAGGCCCCCATAAGGGAATCACAGCGGAGGCCATTGGGATTTTGGAGTAAGGCTTTGCCTTCATCCGTGGACAACTATTCTCCCTTTGAGAGAGTGCTTAGCCAGCTATTGGGCCTTTGTGGAAACTGAGCATTTGATAATGGGACACCAAGTCACCATGTGACCGGAGCTGCCCATCATGAGCTGGGTGTTATCTGACTGCCCCAAGCCATAAAGTAGGCCATGCACAGCAATAATCCATTATCAAATGGAAGTGGTGTATATGTGATCAGGCCCGAGCAGACCTTCAAGCATGCACCTACGGCTTCAGGGGGTGTGCCCTATGATTGGTTGACTGAGGAAGAGAGGACTAGGACTTGGTTTACAGACAGTTGTGCATGCCGTGCAGGCACCACTAAGAAGTGGACAGCTGCGGCATTACAGCAAATTTCTGGAACAACCCTGAAGGACTCTGGGGAAGGAAAGTCTTCACAGTGGGCAGAACTTCGGGCAGTGCACATGGTCGTGCATTTTGCTTGGAAGGAGAAGTGGCCAGAAGTGTGATTATATACTGATTTCATGGGCTGTAGACAATGGTTTTGCTGGACGGTCAGGGACTTGGAAGGAGCATAATTGGAAAACTGCTGAGAAAGACATTTGGGGAAGAAGTATGTGGATGGATCTCTCCAAATGGGCAAAGGATGTGAAGAAACTTGTGTCTCATGTAAATGTTCATCAGAAGGTGGTTTCAGCAGAAGATAAGTTCAATAATCAAGTAGATCGGATGACCCGGTCTGTGGATTGTCAGCCTCTTTCTTCAGCTATCCTTGTCATTGCACAATGGGCCCATGAACAATGTGGCCATGGTGGCAGAGATGGAGGTTACACATGGGCTCAACAGTAGGGACTCCCACTCACGAAAGCTGACCTGGCTACAGCTGCTGCTGAGTGCCAGATCTGCCAATAGCAGAGACCAACACTGAGCCCCTGATATGGCACTGTTCCCCATGGTGACCAGCCTGCAACCTGGTGGCAGGTTGACTACATCGGACCACTTCTATCTTGGAAGAGACAGCAGTTTATCCTTACAGGAATAGATATTTATTCTGGTTATGGATTTGCCTTTCCTGCATGTAATGCTTCTGCCAAAACTACCATACAGAGACTTATAGAATACTTTATCCATCATCATGGTATTCCACACCATATTGCTTCTGACCAGGGAACTCACTTCACAGCCAAAAAAGTGCAACAATGGGCCCATGGTGGTGGAATCCACTGATCTTACCATGTTCCCCACCATCCTGAAGCAGCTGGCTTGATAGAATGATGGAATGGCCTCTTAAAGACACAGTTACAGTGCCAATTAGGTGGCAATAGCCTGGAGGGCTGGGGCAGGGTCCTCCAGAAGGCAGTGTATGCTTTGAATCAGCATCCAATATATGGTACAGTTTCTCCTGTAGCAAGGATTCACGGGTCCAGGAGTCAAGGAGTGGAAGTGGGAATGATTCCACTCACTATCACCCCTGGTGACCCACTAGGAAAATTTTTGCTTCCTGTATCCTCAACATTGCACTCTACTGGCTTGGATGTTTTTGTACCAGAGGAGGGAGTGCTTCTGTCAGGAGAGACAACAAACATTCTGTTGAATTGGAAGCTAAGACTTCCCCCTGGATACTTTGGGCTTCTGATGCCCTTAAATCAGTAGGCTAAGAAAGGAATAGCAGTATTAGGAGGGGTGATTGACCCCGACTACCAGGGGGAAATTGGGCTGGTTCTGCACAACGGAGGTAATGAAGATTATATCTGGAAGGCAGAAGATTCCTTAGGGTGAATTTTGGTTTTACATTGTCCTATAATTAAGGTCAATGGGAAACTGCAACAAACCAATCCAGACAGGACAACAAATGGCCCAGACCATTCAGGGATGAAAGTATGGGTCACCCCTCCAGGGAAAGAGCCAAGACCTGCAGAGGTGCTTGCTGATGGTGGAGGAAATACAGAATGGTAGTAGAAGAAAGTAGTTACAAATATCAACTTAGGCCACATGAGCAGTTGCAGAAACGTGGATGAATATTCTTGTCCTATTTGGTTAAGAATAGGCTTTTGCATGCATACACATATGTTAAGCAGATACTTGAGCTTTTCTTTTTTGAATGTGTAATTGAGATAAGTGTTAAGTGGTTAAGAGTTGTGAACCTATATGATCATATTGGGTTATGAGACATTAAAGGACTAGGCATTCCTCGAAGACCTTATCACCTACTCTAAGATATATAATGCATTGGTCATTGTATGATGGGATAGTTATCAAGTAACTGAAATGAAAGAGATCTTGATTGGATTATCTGAAGCTGGAAGGCACACCCTAAATGTGGGTGTTATCTTCTGATGGCAGCCCGTATAAAAGACCAAGGCAGAGGAGAATGCCAGGCTTCTTGCCGCTTGCCTTCTTTCTTGCTGGTGAGTTTATCTTGCTGCTGTAGACTGAAGACTAGCTGATCTTTTGGAATTTGTCAGACCTTAAGCACCAGATTGGGACTACTGAGACATCCAGCCTTGTGGACTGAGCGACTATGGATTCTCAGCCTCTCCAGTGTGGTGCAGCCATTGTTGGAGTACTCGGACTCTATCCTGTGACCTAAGCTGATAAATCTCTATGCATATATATCCGTTCCAGGAGTTCTGTTTCTTTGGAGAACCCTGACTAATACAACATGATACCCTGATTCTGATAGAGAAGCTTGAACTTATTGGCACAGGAAATGATTTTCTGAACATGTTCCCAATAGTACAGACATTAATATCAGTAACTGACATATGGGACCTCATGAACCTGAGATCTTATGTAAAGATACCACCATCCTAGTGAAAAGGCATCATACAAAATGAGGAAAAAATCCTTACCAGCTATACAACTGATAGAGGACTAGTATCCAGAATATATAAGGAACTCAGAAAACTAAACATCAATAATAAACAAACCAATTTCAAAAATGTGACCTGGAACTAAACAGAGAAGTTTCAAAGTATGAAATAAAAATGGATGATAATTTTTTTAAATGTTCCACCATCTTTACCCATCAAGGTAATGCAAATTAAATTTATTTTGAGATTTTATCATACACCAGTCAGACTGGCTGAAATAAAAATATGATAGCAAGTGCTGGTGAGGATGTGGGGAAAGGGAGTGCTTATTTAATGCTGGCAAGAGTGAAAATTGTGGTAGCTATTATGGAAATCAGTGTGAAGTTTCCTCAAAAAGCAAGAAATAGATCTAACAAATGACTCAGCTATACCACTCTTGTGCATATATCTAATTAAATTCTATTTTTATTTGATTTTCATGCTCGTCTAAAAGCCAATTCTATAAATCTTATAAATTTTGTTTGGGAAAATCTTGGATTTGACAAGTTAAGTTTACTGTTGTGGATGCTACTAGGAAAGTATTTTGAATCCATGATGGAAAAAATACATCATTTTCTATTTTACAGTTTTATAAATTCTAAATACACGGTAAAGAGTAATCATTAAGTGATTTATTATTTTATATCCTAACCTAATATTCTAAAGGAAAACATCTTAACCACTATATTTAAAAAGAGACTCAAAAAGCATCATCAGTTGTTTCCTTATAACTCACTTCTTAGAAGATTTAAAGCATATGTTTGAACAGCTTCTTGCACCAACACTAAGGACTTTCAAAGTGTTCATATATAACATACCTCTCAGTTACACATTCTATATTCCTAAATAGCTCATTTGCTGATGACTGTCCTGTTGAAATCATTTTTCTAGGTTTAGTTCCTGAATAATGGAACTTTCCCATGTAAGTAGCCATTCCAATTTGCTAAAATCAAATGCATTTTAAACCACATACTTGTTATAGCATAGCACCCTATGTTTTTTTTAATTAAGAAAATATTCTCGTATAATTCTTTCTTAGTCATGCAACTCCATTAGCTAAAATACAATACTAGGAAATGATCCATCCTCCTCCTTGACTTTATTGTAGAACTCTTACTTGTGTTCGATTGCTACCAGTTTTAATCATTTCTTATTCTATTTTAAATTCCTTTCTCCATGACAGTGTTTACCTTGAAACAAATGTTGTAAACTCAGTAACAAGCACTGTAACAGATAAACATAAAATCCCGTTTAAAATGTGATGATAGAATAAAGAACCTCTTCCCATCCAGTGTTAGCAGCATCAATTATGCAATGCTGACACAATTAAAATGGCAACATCTTAGTGTATAAAAGGATTGAGGGGTTTTAGTTGGCAAATACTTTATGACAAATTGTTATCTTGTCAATGGGCATGATTATCTGATTTACAAATTAATCTAGAATCTGAAAGTACAAGATAAGCCATTGCAGACCACATTTAGCCTAATGATGGTTTATAAACCCACCATTCCTGTAAGGAAGCATTGAATACAGATCTTCATACAGCTTGGGCTTGGGGATGCAGGTCCAATAAGTCAGCTCTTGTCTTGCATGTGAGAGGTCCAGGGTTCCATCTCTAGAACTGAAAAACAGAAAACAAAATATAAAGCGGGGTTACCCTTAGCTTCAGTGTATATACTACAGTTTGTCAAAAATTTCATATTTCTTTGGTGATATCAAAGGTTAGGTCTAGAATGTATAAAAACTTTACAATGCAAATAAACTTTGTACAAATGTTGTTTTAAATGTAGTATAGGAACACTGTGTTAATATTCATTAATTTATTCATTTATTATTTATTTTGTCACTCAGACTCTATTCTCTCCCTCTCCCTCTCCTAGGAGCAGAGAAGAATAATTGTCAGTTTCAAAAGGCAGCTGCCTCAAAGCAACCCCGAAATCAGCTTCACACTCAGGAAAGAACAATGTGCCTCCTCCTCCTGGTTTCTGGTACTCTACAGAGTCAGACAAATTTCTCTAGTTACAAACTGTAGAAATGATCCCTGAAAGTATAATCTTAATATGTTAATATTTAAACTTTGTCTTTCATGGGACTCTAAGTAGTTGTAATGGGGAAAGCTGTCATTTTTAATAGCCATGTGCTTATCATCTTTGTTAAAGAACAAAATAATGTCTATTCAAAAAAAAAACATAGATAGCAAAGAAAGAATATAGAGAAAGAAAGAGAGTAACCGATTCCTAAGGCTTGTATCATTATAATCTACATAAGCACTAGGGATCTCATAAGTGTGGAGCCATAAATGCAAACAAAATCATCAATAAGAATGATAACACATCGTTAAAAAGTTCAATAAGAATTTTGATAATTGGTGCTGGACAGATGGTTCAGCGGTTAAGAGCACTGGTTCCTCTTTCAGAGGATCTGTGTGTTCAATTTTTAGTACCTACATTGCATAACTTCAGTTCAGTGGGAATTCATTGCCTTCTTCTGATCTCCATAGGCATTGCATAACACAGGTGCACTTACATACATAGAGGTGATACAATCATACATATCAAAAGAAAAATAAATAAAACATTTAAAAAGGAATTTTAATAGATTAAAAATATTTTGGGGGGAAGAAATTTCTTTTTGGTAACTCCCTTAATCTTTTAATTTGTAAAACCATAAAACATTTATTTATTTATTTATTGTTATGTTTTTACACTTTATGGGCTTTAGTTCAATTTTTAAGATTTTATTTATGTAATTTATGTATCTCTGCAAGTAGTTGTGAGTTTATGTACATCATGTACATGCAGGGGCTGACAGAGGTCAGAAGAGGGCACTGTTACAGGTTTTTCTGAACCATCCTATTGGTGCCGGACGTGAACTCAGGACCTTACCTGGAATCCATCTCTAGCACCAAAATCCAAAAACCAAATTATAAGAGTAAGTTTACCATTAGTTTCCACGTATATAATATAGTATTGTCTAAAATTTCAGATTTCCTTGTGATTTAAATGTTAGCTCTAGAATAAACAAAAATATCAAAGTACAAGCAAATTTTGCACATATTGTTTTAAGTGCAGTGTTGGAAAAGTTTGTTCATATTTAAACATGTAGGTTTCATATGACTCTAAGTAGTAATAATTGAGGAAACAATGTGTACATTTAGCAGCTGAACAATCTCTTTAGTCCCTAGTTCAGTTGTTTTTTTTTTTTTTTTTTTTTTTTTTTTTTTTTTTTTTTTGTATGTTTTTTATTGAATTTCTGTGTATTTCCTTCAAAACATCTTAATCATCTTTATACCCACTCCCCAATCTGCACCCTCCTATAGCACGCCCCACCATATTTCATGTATTCTGTCATTTATATTAATGCCTATTGAGTCAAGTTAGTGCATCCAGACATCCCTCAGTACATGACCAACCCCTGGAGTCTAGTTAGCCTAACTTGAGTCTCTAAATATCAGCTCTCCCTCATCGAGCAGTAACCAGTTACCAATATTTCTTCTGCTATGATTGGGACCTGCTGCTCATGCAAACTCAAGCAGATAAAAACCCAGCATAGTTAAGTTGAATTAATGTTAGCTCTAACTTGAATTTATTTTCTTTGGCTCAGCTTTGTCCTGTCCTCTATGCCCTTCAGTAGAATTTGAGATAAATCAAAGTTTCACACCTTGCAGGCCTTGAGGTTTGAACCATGTGGGTGTTTAAATGACTGACTTGTTGATGTCTCTGTCTGAAATTGGGGCCAAGATGGATTTATTTATGAAAATTAGCTGTGTATCAGTTCACAAGTGAGATTTCAAAATGAATTTTCAACTATTAATATTTTTATAAAAGGTATTTGAGTTAGTTATAATTAATTGTATAGCCACTAAGAAACCTATTTCTATTATTGATTTACAGCTTATCAAATTCATGGTTTAGTGACAATACAAATAAATGACTCAGGTTTTTCTCCACAAATCAAGTCTTATAAAAGCCAGGGACAATCTTGTCTCTTTTTTAAAAAAAGTATATCCTTTTCCTTCTCCGCAAACTTTGTGAGTTGAATATGTGTTTCAATAAAACATGTTCCACAGTTCTGAAATCACTGCATGTTCAACCACAGTCCTCTAGTCAACACTTCCATATCCCGATCTTCTGTAACTCCCACCTCTGGACCCTGTTCGCTTGAACTCTTCCAAGTCTATTTAAACATAAGCTTTATGGCTTCGTTGGAACGATTTCATGATTAATCGTCTCAGCGACTTTCCACTATGATTATTAGTTACTCATTTCCCTTCACCGCTGATTCTGTGTTTTACCTTGACCATTACATTGATGTTGAGCCAATTCAACCTCACTTTTTTTCCGGGCTGGCATAGCTACCAGATAAAGCCTCACAGTCTCTATAATTACATTCATTGCACATTTATGATAGTGATTTTGCCAAATCTCTGAAGCAATTCAGCATTTCTTTTCCTTAGCTTGCTTTCCTAGTCCTCTTCTTCACACATTATTATAAACGTTCAAAACAAAATTCTCAATCTTATTCACAACTAAGATAAGACTTATTATGAACACATAGAAAAACCTACTTTACTGAGACAATGATCATAAAATTAGAATTGTCAGGACCTATTATTGGCATATCTAACCTTAACCCTTGAGTCTCATACAAATGAATAGTGACTATAACCCAATATAAAATTGCAAACTTTAATTAAAATATTTACATTTTATGTGTGTATCTGTAACTCTGTTACATCTCTATAATGCTTCCTTCATTGCACTAATATAAAATTTATCACACATTGCTCATAATTGGTCTTTTGCAAACTGTTGAATATTTGTAAACTATTTTTAATAAAAACACACCTCTGCTTTCTTATCAATGGTTTTTTGCAGTAACACAAATAGCCATTATTATTTCTTTTCAATTGAGTAAAATCAATCTCTGTCCAAAATAGCAAGTTGTAAAGTCACAAATTTAAAATATAAACCATTTTTTTATTCTTATCTCTTTATAGAGCAAAGAACAATGGAGATATAATGAGAAAATAAAGGTTTCTAGAGAGAAGGTAGAAACCTTACCTGAATAAGAAATAAACAAAATTATATTTATCTTTGCTTTAAAAGTGCCAAGTATAAAGTACCCTTATTCATTATGACAGTGAATTAAACAATTTTAATTGTAGAACCATTATAGCATAAAGAACTATTGTCTGTAATTTAGTTAAGAGGAACAATGATAAAGCATTTCAGAAATTCAAAATTCTTTCCCCATTATTCCAAATAATGCCTTACTCTGTATTATAATATTATGTCTGAATTTTAAGCACATTTGATGAATACTATGCAATAATATTCAAAAGACTATGCATAATTTTAATTAATGTGGGAGAAATTCAATGCATAAGTAAATACAAAGACATAGATAAAATATCATACATAATTTTTAAAATATGCAGTGTTGAAACTTCAAAAAATGGTATTTTAAGAAAATATTTTCAGTAGATAATGATATATGTGCACATAATATAAAGCATTTTATTTTAATAAACAAAATAAAAGATTTTTGGCTCTCCAATTTTATTTTGTTTTGATTTTATCAAATGTGGGACTATTTAATTATGCTTGTAAATCACAGAAATTATGAAGGAAATTCAAAGAGCTTGCACACAGAATCCTTTAGAATGGATTTACTCAATGCCCTTTTGTTTGAAATTCATGCAGCATATCAAATAGTATCAAATATTGTTCTTTAATATTAAATATCACAGCGAGGATGATCCTTGAATTTTCACAGAAATCAATGCAACACACAAAGCTGTGTTGTATATACGGGTCCTTGCCTCTACCTCAGTCCTTTTCTTATTATAAAAAATAACAAATTGACATTTCTATTATTCTGGTTTTGAATTTATTTAGTCAGTGGTGTGGGGGGGTGTTTGGGGGTGGGTGTGATAATCTCTTTCTGGGTACACATGTGCAAATGCATTTGGAAACCAGAGTTCAACCTCTGGCTTTGTTCCTTAGGAGATGTTCGACTTGTTTCTTGAGACAGAGTGTCTGTTTGGGGTCCAGGGTTTGTTGAATACTCTAAAAACTGACATTTTAATTGGCTTCTAGACCAATATGCCAAATATTTTTGTAAATAAAACTTCAATCAGAAACATGATTAAAATAATAAATTATTTCCTTTTCATAAGCTTTTTAGTGTAATGAGTCTCATTTGTTGATTTTTGACCTTCAGTCTTGAGCAACTGATGTCCAATTTAGAAAGTCTTTTCTGCACCTGTACCATGTAGGATATGGCCTAATGCACACTTCTACAGTGGTAGTGTTTCAGGCTTCACATTGAGTTCTTTGATCTATTTTGAGGTGTCTTTTGTGCATGGCGATAGGTATGGGTAGAAGTACCCATGCTGAGGGACCTGTAGGAACACAAATTGGACTCTATAGG